GAGGATGCCGCTTCATAGTTAGCCAGATATTGAGGGAATTTGCCCCTAAGGTCTTGATTTAGAACACTTCCTGATGAGCATAAAGGTACAGTTCATCCATCCTCATACCCACACTCAAGGCAGTGGCCTGATCAGACTCTGGGCCAACCAAGATGAGCACTTCACTAGGACAATGGTCTGTGCTTTAGGAAGATCAGCCCTAAGATGTGGGAGTTTAGTCTCAGAATTTCTCATGAGTTCCAAAAAAGGGAAATGCTTACCTGAAGCAGACCAATAGTCTATCTGGTGTGATTGAAACTGGGGATGGCCAGTATGTGACATCTGCCTTTCCCTTTCATTCACAAATGCTACATCTTTCCCCCTTGTGCCTGGACTGAAATCTTCTCAACCACTACTAATTGATCAAGCTCACACTTAAACTGAATCCTATTTTCAGGTCTGAGATGCACAACTTCTGGAAAACAACTGGAAATCAGAGAGGAATCGGCTGGCAGCTGTGTCAAATAGCAAGAAGGCGCATTTGGGCCATTGAGCTATTTTCTCAACTACAATTGCCAATTCCAGTCTCCATTAAATAAATGCTATCCTATATGACACTGAGTTAACCATAAAACTTAGCAATTTTTCCCTTTTTCCCAAATTATTTTATCTCCTTTTTGATACAAGAAGCAGTTTCCTTAGTAATTAACCTAACTCTACAAATTCTTTAGGTGTCATCCTAGTTAACTTCCCTTCTTTCCCCACCACCATGTAACTTACCAGCAAATCAATTCCATCTCTAAAATACGTCCACCTACTCCTCTGCATTTTCATCACCACCCTCTCCATCCAGGCGCAATTTTGTTTCCAGGGTTCCTGTGCAACATCCTCCTTCCTAACTGGGTTTTTCACCTCTAGTTGTGCCTCTTTAAATCCATTCTCCATCCAGCAGCAGTGGCAACACTGAATTTTTTTTTTTTTTTTTTGAGACTAGTCTCACTCTGTTACCCAGGCTGGAGTGCAGTGCAGTGGTGTGATAATAGCTCAATAGCTTCTAGACTCAAGCAATCCTCCTGCCCCAGCCTGCCGAGTAGCTAAGCCTACAGGCATGTATCACCACACTCGGCTGATTTTAAAAATGTTTTTAGAGAGACAGGATCTCACTATTTGCCCAGCCTAGTCTTGAACACCTGGACTCAAGAGATCCTCCAGCCTTAGCCTTCCAAAACACTAGAATTACAGGTGTGATCCACCACACCTGGCCAACTGATAGTCCTAAAGTGGAAATCATATCACATCATTATCCTTTTTTAGGCCATTTGTTTTCTATTACCAGAGTAAAACCTAGACTCTTTGCTGCGGCCAGCAAGCCTCTGCCTATCTCGGCAACTTCACCTGCACCACTGTTCCGTTGTTCTTTCTGCTCTAGACTCATGGTCCTGTCTCCTTCCTCTCTGCAAAACATTCACTTAGAGACCTGAGAGAAACCAAGCATAGCCAGACCTTATAGTAGCAGGCGATATTTTACAGTGAAGGCTGAAGGGGAGAAAAAAATGGGAAATAAAAACAGAAAAAATGCTATCTTATTTTATAGCCAGCCAATCTGTTTTCCTCTTACAGGGGCTCCAGGCAGACATATTCTAATGTTTTAGGACAATTAGAAATCTTGCTTTGATGCCTGGCAAAATACAGGTTGCACATTAAGAGGAGCATGTATTGCATGGCCAAGTTGCCAGTATGCATTTGGTTGCCCTGAGCATCTTCAAGCATTTGTGTTTGTACTGCATGCAGCACAGAAAACTTCCTGTTCTTCCAGTCAAAGGGCAAGGCCCCAGAGAAATTCATATGCAATTTAAGTGTGTTCTTGGTCAGGATAGCTATTTGCATTCAAAGGAAGTCATTTCTGAAGCATTCCTTTCAGAATTCCAATTAGAGATTTAAAACACACGCACGTAAATGAGAACGCTTTAAAACGAGGTGTAGAACCATATTGAGGTTACTAACTTAATAATGTTTGAGCCATCAAATAAATGTTCCATAGTAGTTCATAACACATTTTAAGTTATGTCTAGGTTGGTTTGGGTTAATAGTCCCTTTAATTATTCTAATGAGGCTTCCTTGCTTGCCAAGCTATATTCTCTTTCCATTTAGCCTCATCACACTACTGTATATTTTTTATGGGTTCCCTAAAATTGGTGCTAAGGGAGTCAGCTCTGTCCAGGAAAGAAAAGAGTTTCTCTGTGACTCTGAATCCATGTATTGATTCCACAAAGACTGAAGAGCACCTATGGTGTACCAGGCACTGGGCGGGCGGAGCACCAGGACAAGCCACAGATTCCTCCTTATAAGAGTCTATGATCTGGTTAGGGGTTACCAGGCAATTCACATGCAGAGCGTAACTGATCAGGAAAGGAGTTGAAGCAGTGCAGCATGTTTGAGGAGGTGTCCAGGAGTGTTGTGTGGAAGCTGAGACACAGGGAAAAGTCAGAATAAGCCAGGCAGAGGAGTGGGTGTCCCCAGCAGAGGAAAGAGCCTGAGCAAAGACCCGGAGGGGGTGGGTGCCCAGGCAGCGTGAGCATCCCAGCTGCGCCAGCCTCCATCAGGTGTTATATTTTGAGCTCGTGGACCCCCATTCACCTGAGTCGCAGGTTCCCAGATTTTTATTCCCCTAGCTCACCTGTGGGGCACACTTTTGTCATTCTCAGACTTCAATTTCGAATAAGAAATCTTTAAGAGGCATCCCCCAGCCCCCACCCCCAACCCCCACAAAAAAAGTATTTTTTATCTTGCCAGGGCTAGATTCAAATAATGAGAATGTTGTGAAGTATGAAATGCATAGCCAATGGGAATGTAATTTAAAAGAAACTTATTTTAATAACTGAATAACCCTGGACTTCTAAAACAATTTAGGGCCAAAAAGAGTAACCTTAATTTTTTTCACTTGTCCTTCACTGCATTTTTCTAGAACATAAGCTTTACCAGGGCAAGAACTTTTGTTTTGCCTCACTAATGTTTCCCAAGTGCTAGAATGTAAGCACATAATAGTCATTCAGTAAATATTTGTTGACTACATAAGAAACGTTATGGGGGCTATTATGTTCTATGGAGGTTTCCCATATCCTGGGAAATCTTGATTATCAAGGACCATGGTGGTCCTTGAAAGATGAGGGAGGGTTTCCCCAGAATGGACAACAGCGGTTCTAATACGGCAAATAAACCAAGGACAAGGCTGTTAAAAAAGAGCAGTGTGTGGACAGAGAGAACATAGAACAAAGGATTTCAATACATTATTCTGTCCCGCACAGTACTGTGCAATCATTTCAATCATTCTTCATTCACAAGCCAGTTAAGAAAAAACTCCTAAGAGAAGCCCAAGGACTCAGGGCCAAATGCCCAGCACTGGCAACATTTGCCCACACTTCCGTGACAGTACGTAGAAAGCAAGGAACCTTGGCCTGGCACGTTGGTTGCTTCAAGCTCACTTTGGCTGGAAGGCAGGGAGCCTCAGTCCTTGCCAGCACTGGTTTGAATCCTAAGTGAACTCCCCTGGCTTCGGGGCAAATCTTTCTGGTGTGTGAACCCTTCAACCTCCTGCCACCGCAAGGCTTTCTTCTACTCTCACCTCAAACCCCTAGGAAACTTCTCTGAAACTTCAAAAGTTACTCACTCAGACACTGCTTTGTTGGTTGGAATATAAATGTCCAAGAGTCTTGACATCTTCTATGGGGATCTTTAAAGAAGACTTCAAAGAAAGAGCTCTCCTGCTTTGAGAATTTCCCACATAATAAGTGAAAATAATTGCCCCTTTCTATACGTCTCTTTTCTCATCCAGAGGGACTGGTATATTAAAAGGCCTGAGAGAGTGCCAGTGAATATACTCACAAGCCTGTGCTGTGCCTTGGAGCCACGGAGCCAGAGATGGTGTGGTCGCCGGCATCCTCCAGCCCCTTTCGGCCCTTACGTGACAATATGTGGACACTGCCACTTGGAAATCAGACTCTATTCTTTGGGAGTAGATGATCATTTTCCTTTTATGAGGACGAAATCAGTTTTTATAAAGAAGAAACAAAAATCTTTTATGAAACTAAAATCTGAAACAGCATCTTACTTCTGGACATGGCGTCTTCTATTTTACAGGCCATGTTTATCCTACATTGTGTATAGAATCGGGGATAAGGGTTGGAGTTAAAAGGAAAAACTTAGAAGTCGGCGAGTCCCCACCCCTCCACTGAAAGATAAGAGAACGGAAGAATTTTAACTGTTGTCCCAAAACCCACACAGAGGAAAAAGGATTGAGAAAAAAATAAGCGAATGTTTTGAGTCTGATCCTCAGCTTATGAGTAATGTAAAATAACAGCACTTACCTCATAGAGCTTTGGAGAGGACTAAGGGAAATGACACCACAGCCCAGTTACTGGCACATAGTAACTGCTAAATAAGCGAGTTCACTTGGTTAGTAGCTAAGGAGATAACCACAGCTCTGGCCCAAACGAGTGGCTCTCAATCGCAGCTGTGGATCAGAATCATCTGGGATGTTTTTTCAAAAATGCTCAAGCCTAGGCCCAGCTGTGGACATTCTGAGTTAATTGCTCTGGGGTGAGGCCCAGTTTAGGTACAGCTGACCTCACCAGGTGATTCTGGGCAGCCGAGGTTGAAAATCGCTTCTGTAAGAGGTCCAAGAACAAAAACAAAGATCATGTACCCTTATGACTGGATACATACCAGGCAGATGGTAAACAGGGGAGGAAGAGGGAGAGAAAGGGGGAAAAAGGGAGAACAACAGAATGAGAGAAGAAAATTTTAAATAGTATAGTAAGGTTTAAAAACAAGTTTGAAAATGACATCTTTTGTCAACAGCAAGTGTGTGGTTGCTACAAAAGGTAATAATGCCCAACCTAATTGAAATGAAGCAATTACTAAGTCTTAATAAGAGTCTTATTAAAACAACGGAGTTTTCATCTGTCCTTGTAGCTAGGGAGACCTGTTGATACAGCTAAAAGACATAGGAAAACACACCCAGATTAACAAGGGGGCAGTCATTTAATGCAGAAATCCAGTTAACATAAAGAGACGGAGGTTGAACAACAGGTCTTCAAACAATACTGCATAGTGTCACGAGTTAGCTCTTAAGCACGTTTGATCTGTTTATCTTATGATTTCGATTCCAGTACAAAGACGGAGAAGAGACTTCAATTAAAAAAAAAAACAATAAGGCAACAGAAGAAGAATCTTCCTGTGACAAGGAACATCCACAAATAATGCACAAATATTTGGTGCTGACACAATAAGACACCATCAGGACAAGTTCTGAAGATGCTGCATTAAAATTTAACAAGCATGATACAATGACAAGAAAATTATACTCTCTTTGTTACGAATCCTTTTGCAAATAGAAATGACTCTCAGGTAATTGTTATATACAAACTTTCTGAAATAAATGGAAATCATACAAATTTTTCCATTGCAGTTTCTTCTTTCTCTACACCTAGAAATGTCCCATGGCACTGCTCCCTATTCTCACAGTCAAAGCATAAATAGTCATTAAAGCACTTGAATCCACAGTAGTCTTGTCCTTAGAAAGGTTGGGAGGTTTTGCATGATTTTCTATCAGTAATCCAGAAAGGGCTGGCAGGCAACAGGTTGGAATGTAAAAGACCGCTTTGTGCTTGGAATCCTGAACTCCGCGCCGTTCCCCTCAGGGAGTCGCTCGCACTGTGGACAGGCCCAGTGCGTACAGTCATACCGTGGAGTCTCTGCCAGACTTTAGCTGTGCAATCTTGGTCCGGCTAATAAACGGATAAGCGATGCAGAGACCTCCAGCTGCCACAATAAAGCCTAAACTGCACCAGGCGCAAAAGATGGACCAGCTGTAACCATGTTCCACATCGGCAGGCAGGCTATAAATTAGCTTCGGGAGCCGGTTCAAATCATAAGAGATACTGGCGGCATAAGTACAGAGGGAAATGGTGCAAAATATCCCTATAAATAATACAAAGAGAACAGAATGATTAGTTACAGTTTGCCTGTTACAAGACAAATGCCAGACAGGCCTTTATGAAAATCAGATCAACCATTGAGGCGGTCACTCCAAATTCACAAATGATCTGTAATTCTTTTACTTGAATTAATTCATTTGACAAACACTGGCAACACTTCTGTGTGCCAGACCCTACACTAGGGAGTGGAGACGCAGGAGTGAAAAAGATAGGAAAATTCTGATAACCTGCATTATTCAGAATTATCTAATTCGAATGGTTATATATATTGGAATTTATTTGTTTATTATTAAAAGCAAAAGTTGTATTTTTAAAAGAAAAACTTCTATCATCAAATCAAGCACAAAATAGTTTTCATTTTCCTTCACTCTCCACCTATTTTCATACACTTATTCTGTTATAATCATTATACAAAGTATGCTTTCTTTTTCAATTAACATTATCATAAGTATTTATCATGTTGCCTTAAATAACATTTTAGATGAATTCACACAAGTAGCTAAATCTTTTTTGTTAAGGCATAGTCTTACATATACCAGGGCCTCAACAAATGGGTTTTTTCAATGAATGAATGCTTTTAAATAGTATAAATTAAGTCCAGCAATATGGAATTGGTGTAAAATAGCTGACTAAGGAGATCATCCACTTTCACCATTCAAAATGGAGGCAACTGGAGTGACATAAGGAATACGGACAGACCCAAAGCATTGCTTTTTAGACCAATGCGTGTGTATGTAATTTTCCCTCTGCAACACTAAAATCAGAACTGATTTTAAAAATGCTTTATAAGCCCCAAACACAGGATTTTTACTACTCAAGTCATGTGGATATAGGTGCTTCTATTGTACCACAATGAACCCTCAAGATGCTCCTTTTGGATAGGCAGAGGATCAGAATGTGGTGAATAAGAAAAACAGAAACTGGCACCCAATCAAGTATCAGAATGTCCAGTTCTGTTCTGAATCCTACACATCTCTTCTTCATGTCTGGTTTATCGTGCATACAACAGAGATAACATTTATTGGCTGGAAAATTCCTTTGGCATCCTTACAGATACATGTAGCATCTCCACTGGAAACAGACACAGATTTTGAAACTGAAAAGAGAGAGCTAAAAGTAGCAGATTACCTCTCCAACCCCCTCAAAGCTCCCCACCCCCTACCCACCACCCTTTTTTAACCTATAGCTTTGGAGATTAGAAACGCTAGCAGAAAAACAAATTCAGAGCAGGCAGCAATTTGGAGGAAATAAAGACCACCTTAATGCCATCTTTAAAATGTTAGAATTCTGCCTCCATTCAAATCATGTAAGAGCACACTGCCTGACTCCTTTTCCAAATGTGCATTTAGAAAATAAATGTCCTAAATTAAAAGGACACTTGATCTGAGATAATTTGATATTTCCTACTCTTTGCTGAATTCTGCATTTAAACTCTAAAGTGATTCTGTTTTACTAAAAAGGATAAAATCTTTTCTTCTGACTTCTTGCTCCAATTTATTATAGCAAACATATCACTTTGAGTTCTCAAAGAGAAAAATTGACATGGAAATAATTCTCTCATAAAGTAATGGACCATTCAAAAAAGAATACTCCACTTTTCTCAAACCTTGTGAAAAGCAAATGTTCTTAGATCTACACAAATGTTTTCACTGGCACCAAAACAAAGGCAGTTTTTATTTATAACAAAGCCCTTTTAATAAATGCTGGTAGTAGAACAATAGGCAGTTAGAAAAAAATAATCTTTGGAGCATCAACAAGTAAAACAGAATAATAGAACAATGACATCTTCACAGGAAAAACAACTGTATTCTGCATTTAGCTGTTTGCACACAGCTGAACGCCTAAAAGCAAGCATGTTTACAAGTAACATAGTTTTAATGACCTATGAAAGCTTGAGTTCAAACCTAAACTTTTAAGCATCCTTTGATGTCTAAGTGCGTTGGGTTGGGATGTGAGAAGTAAGTATTCTGGTTTCCAGCTCTACTAAACACTGTGCAAACTTGAAATTACCTAACCTCTCTGAGCCTTGGTTTCTTCATCTAGGAAAAAAAGAGTAGGAAACTTGATTACTGAAGTCCCTAAAAGTGTCAAATTTCTGTGATTCTGTTATTCCAAAATGAAACATGAAACAAGAACATTCATTAAAACTTCCTAGTGAATCTAGTACTCGGCTTATGCAATTAAATGAAAATGGAATGTCCTATATATTTATCTTTCTGTATATACTCCCTTTGATTTTACACTTAACATTTATTTTATTAGTTCCTCTCACCTGCCAACCCCATAAAATTGCTTTTGATGACATGAATTCTATCATTACACCACCGGTTCATACTGAATAGAAAAGAATTACAAGAAACAATCTAATCTGAGGATTTAACCAGAATGATTTCTCTCTGCCCTCAATGTCATAGATGGTTGTGCTTTTCCTGGGGAATTGATTTGTGCTTACCTCATGGACACTGTGAATGATGTCACTAATAGAATTTTTCTTTGTCCAACTTGCCAGAGCACTGACGCTCCCTAAAGCTAAATCTATAGCCCACCATGAGCAAAAGTATGGGATTTCATGGCATGCTTTTGGCTTCTAATCTCACTCTTGGATCCATCTTGCCTTGGAAACCTGATTATCCCTTTGTCTTACTTTATTTATTTGTATTAATTTAAGTGGCATCTCTATGCCAGTTAAGTTTTTTCGGAACAGGGCATGCATCAAACTTTGATGCAGACTTGTTTTACTTATTGTTGCCTTTATTCACTCAGCTGAGCGTGGTGGAGAGGAGGCCTATCAGCCCACAAGTATGTCCCCTCTCTATCCATCCCCCTTCCCACAAATGCCCCTATAGCTTGCCCTTCCATCACATCTCTTCTCCTTTCAAAGTGCTCTCGAAGTTGTTCTTAGTAAGAGGAAAGCAGGGCAGGAAAGAGTGACAAGAAAACCATATTTAGGAGCTCTTCCTTTTCAGACCCTCACATTTCTAAGAATGTTTGCACATGCATAGCTGCCACCACTATGATTTGTGAGATGGGCAGGAATGTGTGATAATTACAACGAAATGTATTAAGAGGAGAAAAGCATTGTTTCCAACTTTTCCAACAAGCTTTTGTAAAAGAAGCCTAACCCATTCAAGATATTTTTAAAAACAAAACAAAAAATCCTAAATTCAAAGACATCAAGAAAAAGCATTGTTTGAAATGATGAAAGCATTCTTACTGCAGCTGAATGAATAGTTTTAGGTCAATGTTGAGAGTGTGGAATTCTACGTTAGGTTCCACATACATGTCTTATAGTACTCATATGCATGAGTTTGCCAGAGCTGCCATCACCAACTACCACAGACTAGGTGGCTTAAACAACAGAACTTTGTTTTCTCACAATTCTGGAGGCTACAGTCTAAGGTCAAGGTGTCAGCGGGGTTGGCTTTTTAAACTTAGGACTCTCTCCTTGGCTTGTCAATGGCCATCTTCTCCCTGTGTCTTCACACAGTCTCTCCTCTATCACCATGACCAAATCTCCTCTTCTCATAAGGACAGCAGTCATACTGAGTTAGGGCCCATCCATATCACTTCATTTTTACTTAATTTTCTCTTTAAAGACCCTTTTTCCAAATACTGTCACATTCTGAGGTGGGGGCAAAGACATCAACAAATGTATTTGAGGGGACACAAAGCCCATAACGTTCCGCACACGTGTGTGTATGTGTGTGTGTGTACTCATGCACGAAATATATTTTTAGCTTTTTTATAGGTTTTAGCAAGATTGTACTATTCTAGGTGTTACTCAATAAGTTATTCAACAATTATCGAGTATCTACCATGTCCCAAACCTAGTTCTGGTATATTAGAGACAGTCAAGTTTCATGAGCTCTTTTTGGTCACAGCTGGACGCAGTTCAACACTGATGTGGTCAGGAACTTCAAGCAATCTCTCCACTCCACTTTCCTGTATGCATCTCAGGAAGAGGTCATAGAGATCTCTTAGATTTCCCATAAGTTCTGCGTAGAGTCCAACAGAGCTGGGCACACGGAGTCAAGAAAACCTGAATGAAACTGAATTCTGCCATACGTTGAGTTCTACCAACTTAAGAGTCAGTTCATCGCAAATTACCCCAAGTAGGGATTACCTATGTAGCAAGTTATTTCTGATAATGCTGCATTTTCATTGGCAGCAATCTAATTAATGCAAGGTATGTGAAAGGAGTATGGAAGGATTAATAAGGCATCACCTCTGCATTCTGAAAGTTCAAAATCTAATGGTCCTTCCTGAAGATCCATGGGGAGAAAGGTGGTCTCTCCTCCATTCTTCTCTGAGGCTTTCCCTTCCTTTCCACTTCTCCCCTGCCTAGCTGATACTCTTCAGCCAGCTGGTGGCCCCCAGAGAGAGAGAGAGAGAGAGAGGTTCCTGAGTCCTGAGCTCGGTCCTTACTACTGCCGGCAGCATCTTCAAAAAAGTGAATAAATTACTGGTTTCCTGACAAGCCCTGCATGCAACTATTTTTCTTATAAAATATTAAAAGGTTTTCTGCCAATATTCATAATTAGAAGATACCACGATATCACAGAATTATAGGGCTAGAAGGGATATTTTCACATCAGGACAGAAGTAAATTTATGCTACCATCCCCACAATCATCAACCTAATTTCCTACCCTAAAATCTTCATGGTGCCAGCTGGTAAGATGCAATTAGGGTAACGGGGCCCATTCTTTTGATCACCATTTTTTAATGTCCTTAAAAGACTGAAAGGAGTGGAAGTTGCTTCACCCTGTTTAGCCTGCTTGATAAATAATGTAACTACAACACCCAAAGGCATGAACATTGATTTTTTTTCCCCTACTCCTTCAAAAGGTGGCCTGCCCATCCTTCTGATCTCTTTGGTCTTCCTTCAAATGCCTTCTGCTAGTTTTCACACAGATTACTCAAAAAGCCATTCCTATATTGTCCTAACTGACTGGCAGAACTAACAGAGAGAAACAAAGTCTTACACACACACACACACACACACACACACACACACACACACACATAATGCAATTCCTAAATCCCAAAAGCATCCAATCTGAAAGCATCCAATCTGAAAGACTGAAGCAATTTCTTTAGTGGCAAATCCTGGCCTGGTCTGACATAGGCTATTCTAGTTCTTATTGATCCCATTTAGTGTGAATATTCATGTGTTTAGCTGCAGGAATGTTAATGTATTTGATTTCAAGATGCCACCCCAGATCTTGCTGAGGGTGTTAAATAACACAGGATATATGCACTGTGTTACTCTTCTAAAATAAATTTTTTTTAATCCTGAATTACAAAACACACCTGGCCCCCAAGGTTATAGAAAAAGTATCATGGACCTGTAGTTTCAGGTCATAATCAACGGATAATCTAGATAATTCAATACACCTACCATGGCGGAGTCTTTTTTTTTTTTTTTTTTTTTGATTCATTGAAACAAAAGAATGAATAACCAGTGTAGGTGGGTGTTAACTGTCCCTGGAGCTCTGCTAGGGCTGCCTGGACTCTATCTTCTCTGTCTCTGCTGTCAGGAAGGGAGTGTTTCATGCTGTGTGTGATCTTCCAGTTGGCCACTCAAGGCGCAGCCTGTGAAGGTGAATGAATTTGGTGAGCAGTGAGACCCCCACCAAGGGAGGCCCAAGCTTTATCCATTTTTAAGACTCCTAGTGAATTAAAAAAATACTAAAAATCCTACAACAGAGACCTAAAAAAGTGTTTAAAAATGTTTGCACTGAATAACCTTTTAAAAGATTTGTAACTTAAATTATAATAAGTATATTTATTATATCCATCAAATAGAATGCATCACTTAATAATATAGGTGGAAATATTCATTCACAGTACACTGAAAGCAGTATAGTCTAGTAATGGGCAGAAGCTCAAGGCTGGAAGATGAGAATCTTATTCCCTCAATCGCCTGTGTATGCTTTTGTGCCTGTGTGTGTGTAACCTCAGAGGGTGTGACATCCAAAGTCTAAATTGAAGGCCCATGGGGGATGTGCAGGCTGGCCCTGGCCCTCTGGGAGGACCCTTGCATGGCCCCAGGGAAGAGGAAAGGGGGCGAGACCTGGCTCCAGATGTGCATCGACAGTCAGCAGGGCTGCTGTGTCACATGCGGTAATCAAGACCTGTCTGTGCAATCAATAAGGCAGAAGGAGAAAGATTGTTCCAACGTTTCCATTTTAACCGCCCAACCTGTCACATGGTTGATGTTCTTCATTTGAAAGTTTAGCTAATAAGTTCAGGCAGAGAATGAAGATGGCAGAGCATTAGAAGGGGCTAAGTTTAGCATCAAAACTCTGTGGGAAGGATGCTGAGTTGAGTGGCTAAAGACACTCTGCTTAATTAAAATCGATTCTTTTAGCCCTTTTTTTGCTCTCATCTCCTGCATATGAACGTTCTACAGCTAATTTATCTCATGCAATAGATTGACGTGGTTGTCTCAGTGTTTGCAAAGGAAATTTCAAGGCATTATTTGTAGTAACAAAAACAAAACAAACCCCCCTGAATCCCATAGCAACAGAACAGGTGAATCCAGCATAGCATATCCACTCCATGGAAAAACATGTTTCTCCTCTCCCCCTCTTCCATCCCCTCCCCTTTTCTTCTCCTTCCTTTTCCTTTCTTCTTTGCTTACAATGAAGCAAATACATGACAAGATTTGGTCCAGAATAAGGGAAATATTGAAAAAAGGTTGTTTTGTTTTCAGGTGATGAGGTCTGTAAGTGGATTCCCCCTTAATTTCAATAATGCTGTTTGGGCAACCGAAACTAAACAAAACAACAGAACAATGTTAACAATGTTAGGTTGTATCTATCAGTCCTTCAGAACTGGTCATCAAACTTCAAGTTTATTATTTGGGTTTTTGATGTTGTTGTTGGTGGTGGTGGTGGTGGTGGTTTCTGTTGTGGGTATTGCTTTGCTTGTTTTGATGTTGCCTAACAATTACATAGGAGCTTCCCATGCTCGATCCTGAGGACTCCTGAGCTCCTCTGGTCCAGAGGTACAATCCACACATGGATCCAAAATAAGGGTTGAGAACAGGAAGAGGTGGAGCTGGCCCAGGAAACTCCTGCCTCTCCTCTGTGCCCACCTGCCATTGAACCTTCAACTTCCTTTCATTTAAAACCAGACTGGCCCCTCAGTCTCCCAAGGAGCACTCAGTAGGCTTTCATGGCCTTGCAATTTATTTTAGTTCTAGCAATTGTTAGAATCTTTAGTTCTAACAAAAGTTCTAACAAATCCCCTGACAAGAGGAGTGGTATGGGGCCTTTCCAGGGTTGGGAGGCAACACATCTGTACTTCTTCGATATTTATGGAGACGAGAGTCAGAGAAATGGGGGCTCAACTAAAGGGAGAGAAGAAAACAGGGGAGATTTTCAAATAATCACGAAGCCCCAGCAGAAGCATAAAGGAATCCTCTGTGCAGTGCAGTCCTCTCTGATTCTTTGCTGCCCTTGTCTGCTTTACTCTATAATTTGGATTTTAAATGCATCCCTTGGGCAGGAACCCAGTGGCTGGTCTTGAGGGTCCAAATCCGCCTCTAAAACCTCAGAAACTAACATTTTAGCCTCCCTGTGCTACAGTCCTGGTGGCCACTGTGTATTCACCAAAATCCAGAAAACCTAAATTGGTTTTCTGCTCAGAACTAGGCAGGATCCATGTGACTTCTGAATGTTCCAGGATGCTGGTGATGATGCCCCACATTCCAGATCACCGCCAATTGCAGCACCATTTCGTGGAGTGGGACAGGGACGAGTGGGAGTTAGAAGGAAGGATCCCTGCCTGTGAAGTGGGTTCCTTAAGGCTGCAGGGTGGTTGACCGTGCCAGAGGGCAAAGCACCCCCGATCTGTCAGCCCTCAGAGACAGTCAGTCAGCAAACAGTGGCAACCCTGGTGGGGTGTGGCCGCCTCCTGTTAACACAGGCGTAATTAGGTGACCCATTACAGTGAGAAGTGCTAGGAAATCAAGGCGTGGTCACTTGAATAACAGAATTCCAGGCAAGTGGAAATAAGCCTATTTAAAATGGCCCTCTATCTAGGGGAATATTCGTTCTGTTGCTGAGTATACTTCGTGAAACTGTTAATGCCCAGTTAATTTGGCATTCACTAATCATTAATACAGGAGTTTTCTGTGAAGGAGGAGAAGAAAGGAAAGATTTCTTCCCTGAAGCTACCATCGGTCAGTATTAGCCGCCGACTCAGCACCTGGCACCTTTTTAGACAAAACTACCCTTTAGCTGTTAGTCAAAAACATCCTAGCCCTGTCTCCACACCCCCACCCTTTCCAATCCCTTGTTTAAAAATCAAGTCACTCCTTTGCTTCAAACCTTCTAGGGGCATCTGTCACCCTTAGCTTCAAATCCAAGCTCTCCACCATGACTGACAAAGCCCTGAAGCTTTGGCCACTGCCCACTTCCCCCACCTCAGGTGATACTATCCTGTCCTTCACTCCCTCCAGTCCCACTGGCCGCTTCTCTCCGGTTTGGCACTAGTGGTTTCCTCAGTCTGCTGCGCTCTTCCCACCACCGGCTGCTTCTCAGGAATTAGCTGAGAAATTGCCACCTCAGCAAGATCTTCCCTGAGTCCCTATTTCACCCTGTTTCTTTTCTTCACAGCTTTTATCACCACCACAAATCATTGTTTATGTCTCTCCACAATAAAAATGAACAAGGATTTTGCCTGCCTTATTCATTGTGTGTCTTTAGCACTCACAGCAGTGCCTCGTACATAGTAAGTCCTCAAAGGATATCTGTGGAGTGAAATGAATGAGTGTTGTATATGTAAAAGTGACAACATCACTAAAGCATGACCTTTGAATTGACATCCAGCCAGGGGATGGGTTGCGATGATCTATCCCCCTCTGTCTTTGAGGGCACCTCATAAGCAATGGCCCATGTTTGCCAAGAGTCCAGGCCAGGGTTTGGGGCACAGTATGAAATAAGGAACAGAAAACGGGGCGTGGTGGCTCATGCCTGTAATCCCAGCACTTTGGGAGGCTGAGGAGGGGGGATCACCTGAGGTCAGGAGTTCAAGACCAGCCTGGCCAGCATGGTGAAACACTACCAAAACTACAAAAATTAGCCAGGTGTGGTGGCACATGCCTGTAGCCCCAGCTACGCAGGAGGCTGAGGCAGGAGAATCACTTGAACCCAGGAGACAGAGATTGCGGTGGATCAAGATCGCACCACTACACTCCAGCCTGGGTGACAGAGTGAGACTCCATCTCAAAAAAAGAAAGAAGAGCAAAAAAACAGACTGGGCTCATTTTAGAGATTAAACCCAAGACACTTCCATCTAACCTACTAACAGGCCACAATGGGGATATGGAGGATGCATTTTTCACACCACTGTTTTCCTTAAATTCTGTATTTCCCAGCAAAGCCAAAATGACCTTCTGGTTGCTTTTCTAACGGTGAAAACAAAATTAACAGGGAGATAACAAAGCGACACTAGCTAGCCGCATGCAGAGCAGCCTTCACCTTGGCCGGGGCAGACGGCCTGAGACGTGCAGCCTACCTGTCATGAGGAACAGGAGTCCAGCCACGTGCTGGGTCAAGCTCTCCTCCCAGAAGAAACTGACCGTGGCCACAATGCAGCCGCAGAGAAGGACGGCTACAGCCATGCCCAGGAAGCCAGCAGTGATTCTTCTTAAATCTAATCTCAAAACAGACACAGACATTCACAATCAGAATTCAGGAAAGTCATTAAGAATTAGAGAATTAGGGCTTTGTATACCTTGTGAAAATTAGTAAGTTACATGGACAGGCTTAGAGCCTACGGGGCGAGGAGGCTTAGGGAATACTCTTCCCAGGCATTCCATAAGAGGACTAATGGGGTGTAACCAATGGAAGGTCAGACTCTACCCTCTCTGAGTCCATGGAGAAGTCCACACCAAGTGGAGAATAGACTAGAGGACAAGCCCAGGATAGGCCTGAGTAACAGATGTCAAATGACTTAAACCAAGAGTGAGGTGGGTTTGAGAAATATCTGTTAGCTTTAACAGAGCAATAGAAATGTAGGTTAACCAAAAACCACCTGTACCCCAAAAACTATTGAAATTTTAAAAAGGAAAAAAAAAGAAATGTAGGTTATCCCCATGGTAGTGGCTGTACTTAATCTGGCTTAGGAGAAAGAGCCTAAAAAAGCTATTGTGAAATAGGGTTTTATCTGATCACCACAGATGCCAATTATTTACTTCTTCATTTACATCTACTCCTGCGTATTTTCAAAAACGATTTGAGAAAGTGAAGGTAATTGTGGTGACTGGAACAGTGGTGCAAAGTGCACACAGGATACATGTGCTCATAAACACCCTTTCCTCTGAAACATCTGCTCATAAATGCCTTCACCTCTAAAGCATAGATCCCACAACCTGGGCATCCATTTACCCAGGTGAAGGAAGTACTATTCCAATAGGATGAGTCTCCACCATACAGTGGCCCAACTGTCAAGTCTGGCCTATTGCAAAAACACAATTGTGATTACTGAGCCAGAAATCTAGCTCTTTCCCCACCTCCCTGGCAAAACCAAGAGGCAGGCTGACTACATGTACCTGGACACACATTGCCTCCAACTACTAAACCGGCACTTACCTTGCCTACCTTCCAGCTATTTTACTTTTTCTATTTTCTTCCTTGTTTTTAAAAAAATACTTTTTAATCTTTTTTATTTACCTTACAGCTCCATCTCAAAGGATTTTTTTAACAAATCTAACTTTAAAAATTGTTAGCTAAATTTCAATCATCCTTCTTAAAACAACACATCCCAAGCATACATCTGTTGCCCCCAAGGCCAGGTAACAGGTGTGGGCAAATGCACGTGGATCATGCACACCTGTGTACACATGGGGCCAAGACAAGGTGCACATCACACTGTTTGAAGTGTGGGCTGCTCTGCTAAAGTGAAAGTGCCCATGCAGCCATCACTTTATTGTGTGGCTCCTGGGCATTAGGGGTGGTTTCATCGAGGATGGATTACAGTAGCTTCCAGTCTTGCTCTTAGCATCTTAGCCATAGAGAGACCATCCCTTTTTTAAAGGGGGATTTCTCATTTCCAGTTCAGAGTATCCAAATTAAAAGAGAGTATTTCTGCCTAGAAGAAGAAATGTGGACACCAATGAACAAGGGGCCAGGGGCAGTGATAATATGAAGATGCTGAGTTTAATGTTAAGGGTATAAGTAGTTTTTGAGACATCCACATCTGAGCAGGGGAAATGTAGTAATGGTTCAGTCACTATTATCTTACAGCCTACCAAATTTCCTGCAGTTTGAGTAATAGTCTATTTTCTGTGACTCTGAAAAGGCACAAAGTTCAGATGTAATCCACATGGGATTTGCATTAGTACCAGTCATGTTAATCTTACACAGTAAATGCGCTATAGATCACCAAGTGTGACTTTCTTAGAAATAGACATGCATGAGACTGCTGAAAGCATCTTTCCATGAGAACTCCAAGAAGGATTAAAAGAAGAATCTTCAAATATTGCTTGCTGGGCAATCACAGGCTACAAACTATTAAAGAGCTAAGGTTCTTTTTCAGGCTCCTATGATGATCTTTTCTTCCCTGACCTCAGCCAGTAACTACATAGCTCTCTGGAAAGATGATTAAAGTCTTAAAGTTGCCCGTCATAATAGGTATAATATTAGACCACTGCTCTGGCAATATCAGAAGAGCTTCCATTTATATGTTTGAGATTCAGAACAGAGCCTTTTAATCCTCAGAGAGATTGACTTACAGAATAAGACTCTGATTAGTTCTCTACAGTGGCTTTGGCCACCACACAAGATCCTGAAGTCCTCATTACTTATTTCATTGGAAAATGACAATGTCAATCTCTGATGGGGGCAAAGACCAAAAAAATCACTTTAGTTTTTTGTTTTGGGGAGCTATCTATCATCAGGCAGCTTAAAGCAACAGTTTTTAGGTAAATATCAGCCCTCTTTAGTTTCACACTGCGTGATCCTTTCTAGAGTTTCACATTTTCCTGACAGTGAAAAAGAGTAGCTCCTTTCATTGAGATGTAGACACCCTCTGAGAAAATTATGACATACACTCATAAAGGTATTTTAGCAGAAATACAAAGGTTGGAGATAAACACAGTAGCTAAAATAAATATTGTATTTACAAAACAAAAATAAGAGCCCTAACATATAATCTCCTTGGTTTACTAAGACAAGGGATACAGCAGGTCCTTACACCCAACGACTCGGCAAACAAAAGATTCAGTAGGCAGCTGTGGACAGATGCCACCAGGGCAGACTATCTCACAAGACCTCATACCAGGTTTCCACACATTTTATTTTTAAGCAAGCTGTGTCCACAGCATAGGGAAATGATCCTCTGAGTCTCTGACTACATCTGATTGGGCCCAGAGGCTTACAGAGGATAAGAACAACATCCTGCTGTCTAGATGTGAGAGGGGTGGTTGGAATTTTGTTCAGAAAGACACCATTTCCTCTCTGAACCTGTCCTGGAAATACTTACGAAGCAGGTGCCACTCATCTTGCTGTATGGTCTTGGTTAAATTAAAAGGAATGTTTCGTAAGCGGATGGGCTGAGAAAAGTGGTACTTGATGGCCGTGCATCGCTGCGCAATACCTTGAAGGAAATAAGAAACGCGATTTACGAGTCTGCTTATTTGTAACAGAATTCTGAGACCTGAGGCAGAATACTGTAATCTAACCTGGGTTGAATGGGAGATGAGATAAGAATCTCTTGATTCAGAGCAATGAAAACCTAAAACATAAAATAATGTTTAAAATCAGGTTTCATTGGAGTTTGTTTTACCTAAACACAAAACTCCTCAAGGAGAAATGGCCTAAAAGTACACAGATGGTTGGGAAAATCAGCTTAGAATTTTAAATTAGCACAGATAAATCACATATCTGAATCTGATCCAGTCTCAAACTCTCAAATGGGTAGCCTCATGAAGTTCATTACGAAGTGTGTTATTTGGAAACCAGAAGACATTTTTCCATAAAGATAACCTTCCACATGGTTTAGGTGGTGATTATATCTCCAGACAACCCTCAAAAGCCTATTTAACCCTAGTGCAGCTGATATAATTCCTTAATAAAATTATACTGACCTGAAATCTAGATCTTGAGAAAAAGGGTAATACTGAAAGTAGAAACAAGAAAGAAAATAATTTTCCTCCCCTATCTGGTTGTATGGCCAGCTCCAGGCACAATATTTTGACATGGCCAGGTGTACACATTGGTTAATCTAGTAACTCTCTACCTCCTCACACCCACCTCACACACCCATGTTTTACTGCATAAATCAACATGGGTCCGTTATTCTCTTCTCCTAAAGGCTTCTGAATTTCATGAAAAGTATCTACTCTGTCTTAAAATTTATAAAACTTATAAAATGTTCTTCTCTCACTTTAAATCATCTTGGCCAGTTGTTTGGATAACTGCAATCTGATTAAACTAATTTTTTAAAAAGCATGAGTGACTGTTAGTCCTTTAACACTGCCAGCTGTTTAAAAAAAATATTCATAGATGCAAATAAATTTCTAATTGGTGGAATCTTAGTGTGTATAAAAGTGAAATTTTAAAAAGATTATACAGTGAAGGGAAGAGATTAATATTTGTGCACAATTTGCATCATGAACCTCAGTCCCTCCTGTGAATGTACCTACAGGATCATCTTCCCTAAGGAGTTTCTCAAATATAGTGTACATAAGAATCACCTAGTCAAAAATTTAAACTCCTGGACTCTACCCCAGATATACTGAATCAAAAGTTTTGAGATAGAGCCAGGAAGCTGAATTTTAACAAGCATCCCAAGTAATTCTGATGCAGGTAGTCTTTGAATCTCCCTTTGAGAAAAACTACCCAAATTATCTCTGATTTTTGGAAGCTTTTTTTTTTTTTATGAAACCACACATTTTCTCAAAATTCAAAGTTCTTTTTTTTTTTTAATTTGTTTTGTCAACATGAGCCCAATGGCAGTGGTTGTGAGGTCTAAGGCATTAAAGGTAGCTGTTTACTTATAAGTTAGCTGTTTATAAGTCAGGAAATGCCTGTGCTTCCAAAGGGAAAACAATATAGTATGAGAACAATGACAGATAAAGGACCACAAATGTAGTAATAGCTTACATTTGTATTCTTCAGAACTATCATTCCATTTGAGACTGACCTTGAGGCTCTGTAAGCAGGAAGTGAAAGCTACAGCAGAGTTGAAGGCATACTCAACACGCACACAACAAACCCCATTGGCAAAGACTGGAAGGTTTATTGGTTTTAGCAGGCTAAGAACATTTCCGTATAATAATTAGTTTACCACTAAGCTAATCAAGCAGAGACTTAAGGGCCCTCCTATGACAAAGAATACAGACTTCATAGGATTCATTCAGGAAAGCCACTAAAGAAACAACAGCAACAACAATAAAAACAATAATCAACCCTGAAGAGGGACAAGAATCTCATTTCAGAGCTGCCATAGTACGTTATTTCAAATTCCCAGTTTTCAACAAAAAAAGTACAAGACATGCAAAGAACAAGAAAAAAGAAGCAGTCAATAGGAGCTGTCACTGAGGGATCCCAAATATTGGACTTACCTTACAAAGATTTTAAATCAGCTCTGTTAAATATGTTCAAAGAAGTAAAGAAAACCTATCCAAATAACTAAAGGAAAGGGCAAGAGTGCTGTTTCACTAAATAGAGAATATTAGCAACATGACAGAAATATTCTTGAAAAGAAAAAAATAGAAATTCTGGAGTTGAAAAGTATAATAACTGAAAAGAAAAATGCATCAAATAGGCTTAAAAGAAGTTTTGAGGAGGTAGAAAAAAGCAACAAACTTGAAGACAGGTCCATTGAAACTATCCAATCTGAGAAAAATAAAGAAAAAAGGATGATTTTAAAAATGGTCAGGGCCTCAGAGACCTGTGAGGCACCATCACAAGCATAATGAGAGCTGCAGAAAGGAGGAGAGAAGGAAGATCAAAAAAGAATATTTGAAGAAATAACTGCCAAAAACTTCCCAAATTTGATTAAAAACATGAATCTGCATTTCTAAGAAGTTCAAGGAACTACAAATAAGATAAATTCAGAGACCCACACCCAGATAGAGCATAATCAAACTGTTGAAAGCCAAAGACAGAGAATCTTGAAAGCAGCAAGAAAAAAGCAAATTATCATATACACACAAAAAAAATCTTTGAAACACAATCAGCTGATTTCTCATCAGAAATCATGGAGGCCAGAAGGGAATAGGATGACATATTCAAAACACAGAAATAAGAAGACTGCAACCAAGAATCCTATAGGCATCAAAGTTATCCTTCAGAAATGAAGAAAAAATATATATATATATTCCCAGCTAAACAAAAACTGAGAGACCTGGCCTAAAAATAATCAGACCTGGCCTAAAAATAAATACTAAAGGGAGTCTTTTAGGGTGAAATGAAGGATAATAACTGAACTCATATTTAAAAAATAAAGAGCACATATAAAGTTTACAACATAGGTTACCATAAAAGACAGTATAAATGTATTTTTGTTTGCAGCTTTTTTTCTCCTATCTGATTTAAAAGACATAAAGCAATAATTATAAATCTCTGTTGATCAGCATACAATGTATAAACATGTAATTTGTATGACAATAATAGTACAGAGGAGGAGAGTGGGGATGAAACTATATAGAAGCAAAGTTTTTATATACTATTGAAATTCAATTGGTATTAATCCAAACTAAATTAAGATGTCACTTGTAATCCACAGGGCAACAACTAAGAAAATAACAAAAAAAATGTAGTAAATGAAACAATGACAACAAAAAGAATTAAAAAGCTATGTTAGAAAACACGTATTTGACACAAAAGAAAACATTAATGAAGAAACAGGAAAAAAATGCATATGTCATATAGAAAACAAATAGACAAATGGCATATATAAATCCTACCTTACCAAAAATTATACTAAATATAAATATATACTCCAATAAAAAGGCAGAGATTGGCATTGTAGATAAAACAACATAATCCAACTATATGATGTCTACAAGAGACACAAATAGGTTGAAATTTTAAAGGATGGAAATTTTAAAGGATCTCTCTACAAGAGACATAAATAGGTTGAAATTTTAAAGGATAGAAAAAGATATACCATGAAAACTGTAACTGAAAGACAGATGAAATGGCTATACTAATATCAGACAAAACAGAATTTAAGACAAAAATTGTTACTAGAGAGAAAGAAAGATATTTTATAATGATAACTGGGTTTATCCATCAAGAAGATATAGTAATCATAAACATATACTGACCAGTAGAGCCCCAAAATACATGCAGTACCAAAAACTGACAGAATTGAAGGGAGAAATAGACAATTCAATAATAATAGTTGGAGGCATCAATACTTCTCTTTCAATAATAGTAAAACAACTAGACCGAAGATCAACAAAAAACTGAAGACTTGAACAACACTATAAACCAACTAGATACAAGAGACATCTATGAACACTCCATCCAACAACAGCAAAATACACATTATTCTCAAGTGCACATAGAATATTCTCTAGGATAGACCATATGCAGGCAATAAAATAAATCTCAATAAATTTAAAAACATTAAAGTCATACAAAGTAAGTTCTCTCACCACAATGCAATGAAATTAGAAATAAATAATAAAATAAAATTTTGGAAATTCACAAATTTGTGGAAATTAAGTAATACACTCCTAAATAACCAATAAGGTAAAGAAGAAATCACTAGAGCAAATTAGAAAACATTTTGAAATTAATAAAAACAAAATTACAACATACCAAAATTTATGTGATGCAGCTAAAGCAATGTTTTGAGGGAAGTTTATAGATGTAAATGCCTACATTAAAAAAAGATCTCACCTGGCACAGTAGCTCATGCCTGTAATCCCAACACTAGAGAAACTGAGGTGGGAGCGTCACTTGAACCCAGGAGTTCAGGATCAGCCTGGGCAACACAGTGAGATCCTGTCTCTACAAAAAATAAACAAAATTAGCCAGGCATGATGGCATGCACCTGTAGTCCTAACTACTCAGGAGGCTGAGGTAGGAGGATTGCTTAAGCCCAGGAGATGTAGGCTGCAGTGAGCTGAGATTGCACCATTGCACTCCAGCCTGGGGGACAGAGTGAGACTATCTCAAAACAAAAATAAAACCAAAAAGATCTCAAATCAGTATCCTAACTCTCCACCCTAAAAAACTAGAAAAAGAAGAGCACACTAAGAAAAGAGATTACAAAACTAGGGTGGAAATACATAAAATGAAAAATTAAAAATTGAGAAAGTAAACAAAACCAAAATTTGGCTATGCCCGTAATCCCAGCACTTTGGGAGGCTGAAGCAGATGGATCACTTGAGGCCAGCAGTTCAAGACCAGCCTGGCCAACAGAGGGAAACCCCATCTCTAATCTCTACTAAAAGTACAAAAAATTAGCCAGGCATGGTGGCACATGTCTGTAATCCCAGCTACTCAGGAGGCTGAGGCACAAAGATTGTTGGAACCTGGGAGGCAGAGGTTGCAGTGAGCCAAGATGGCGCCACTGCACTCCAGCATGGGCAATGCAGCAAGATTTTGTCTCCAAAAAAACAAAACAACAACAACAAAAATCAGAAATGAAACAGAGGCTATCACTAACAATCTTAGAGAAATATAGAGAAGCTTAAGAGAACACAGTGAAAAATTACATGCCAACAAATTAGATAAAACAGATAAAATGGCATATACCTAGAAATATAAAACTCCAAGACAACTGAGTCAAGAAGAAACAGAAAATCTGAACACATCTATAACAAGTAAAGAAACTGATTTAGTAATTAACTTAGTGAAAACTTGCCACAAAGAAAATTCCATGACCAGATGGCTTCACTGGTAAATTTAACCAAATGTTTAAGGAAGAATTAACAATCCTTCATAGACTCTTCAAAACAACAACAACAACAACAACAACAAACAGAAAATGAAGGGACCTTCATACTTCTTTCTATGAGGCCAGTAATTACCCTGATACGAAAAACCAAAGATACCACAAGAAAAGGAAAATACATACTATTCCTTATGAATAGATATGCAAAATTCGTCAGCAAAATATTAGCAAACCGAATTCAGCAACATTTGAAAAGGGTTGTACGTCATGATCCAGTGGGATTTATCTCAGGAATGCAAGATTTTAATGATTGATTTCATTAAAATCAATTAATACAACATACCATATCAACAGAATAAAGGTCAGAAACCACCTGATCATCTCAAAGACGCAGAAAAAGTATTTGACACAATGCATTTGCTACTCATCAACAACCCTCTGAGCTAAATATAAAGGTATTATTAATCACACTAAATGAGTAAAAAAATCTGAAGCTCAGAGTTAAGTAACTAGCCTGAGGCTATTACTCAGTTGTAACCAAGCTTTAACATAAATGCTGTTACCCAAACTTTATATATTAAATACTACTACTCAGAAAAGTTAGCAGTCCTTAGTTTTCTAGACATGCATCTTAATTTTGTGGACAGTTAAGCTAGAGTTACTAGATGTACTGTCAATTTGAAATAAAAAACAATCTTTCCAATTTAGCACCAACATATGCTCTTTTGGAAACAAAGTTGATTCTTAATTGAAGGAGATTGGATCGGCTACATGGCTGACTCAGTGGCTTCATCCTACCTGCCTCTCACAGAAGCTGCTTAAATGCTGGAGAGAGGGTGTGAACTGGGGAGAAACTATTTTCTCAGACTCACAGGAGCTGGCCTTAGAACAGCTTCTGTGCCAGGGAAACGTGTGGTCCCTTTTAAATCACTGCAAATATACTCAAGACCCATCTCCTCCTCTGCTTCTTGCTTGTAATGGGCAGGATCCCAGTGGGCAAGAAGAGTAACAGGAAGGAGGTGGCAGCTGGCCCAGGGTTCTCCTGCTTCCTCTGCATGTGCCAGGAATGAGGTAAGTAGTGCACACATCACCAAATCGCCTTTCCTTCTCCATGGGGCTCTCAGGCTAAATTTAAAGTGCCAAGAATTCTGAAATGAGAAGAGAAAGAGGGTAGGGAAAATGATGAGGTCTGGGCTGACAGTAACAAGCAGTACTCAAGGACTCCAAAGAGTGGGGGTCTGGTAGCGAGCCCAGAGCTCCACAGCTGAGTTTGTAAGAAAATGTTCTATGGTCCAGGTGTTCCACTCCCTTGGAAGGTGATTAAAGACTTCGGGCAGAATTAGAAGAGAAAGTGGGAATGAAAGACAGCTCAGCAGCAGTGTCAGAGACCTGCCATTAGCTGTTTTATGTCCTTGTTCTTAAACACTTGTTCCACTGTCGTAGCAGAAAGTCAGATAGATTTGAAGAGGAAAGCAGTATTATTAAGGTTTGCCTCCCTACAGCACACACATTAAATTGACAAAATGAAACCACAAAAATCTTACAGGAAAAGACCTGTAGTTGCTTGACAGAACAAATCAAGCAACCAAAAACAAATTAGGTCTTTTTGATAAAAAGACAAGCATACACATATACATAGATGGTGGTAAAGATGGAAGTTCCATGCAGTGTTAAGGAATAATTTATACTGTTAAAATCCACAAGGAGGCATTAGATTCCAATTTTTTCAAAGTCATACATGCAAACTTTGAAATTAACTGGCTCTCTGGGTTTAGAGAGCAATGAATCTGGCTCTCTGAAAAGGAACACAAAAAGCATGAGCTCATAGCACCAGATGGCATCACACAATGGGGGGAAGAAACATGCAGAGGATTGAAAAGAACAAGTTGTGGTTTATATTTAGTGATTAATTAGCTTCTTAAAGGGCCAAGTAGAGCCACTTTAATGATGATATAAACCATAGAATAAGATATATAAGTATGTTGCACAGGGGGTTAGAAATGGAGCTTTTGCCTGGTGAATTTCTGTTGTTTCCAATACTGAGTTCCAAGCTAAGTCAGAGAAACCCCTACTCAAGGTTAAATGAGGGAGAAACATGAAAGATGCTATAAACAGTCATTACTATCAATCAATAATGAGGCGGGCAGTATACATGATGGTTAAAGACCTTGCAGTCAGACAGACTTGGGTTTGAGTCCTAGTTGTGTGACTTGTGGCAAATTACTGAAGCTCGCTGAGCCTTGGTTCCCTCGTCTGTAAAAGAGGGGAAATAATGGCACACACCTCACTGAGTTACGGTGAGGAATGAAAGAGGTAATTCAGGACTTAGCATAGGACGTGTGGCCCACTGTAAGCACTGGATAATGTCAGCCTTGGATTATGAGTTCTCTCATGGCACCCGCCCAATTTGCCATACAGAACCACTGCCACACACCAGGAGTCTGCACCTTAAATGGTCATCAGAGATTAACCCAAATGTACAGAGAAATAACCAGACACGCAGCAACAGCTTCCTGAACAATGGCCCGACCAACAGCTCTCGTGTTTCCTCTCCATTCTCGCCGCTTCAGAACAAGATTCCCATCACCTCACTCCTGAAGAATTTGCTAACTGAACTCCTTGCTCAACCCTCAACCTACCCTGCATGCCACTGCTAGATAAATCTGCTGTATGAAGTTTTGGGGCCTCTGGAGTCTCAGTTGTCCATCAGTAAAATGCAATATGAAAACCTTTAGCCAGGCGCGGTGGCTCACGCCTGTAATCCCACTTTGGGAGGCCGAGGCGGGCGGATCACGAGGTCAGGAGATCGAGACCATCCTGGCTAACACGCTGAAACCCCGTCTCTACTGAAAATACAAAACATTAGCCGTGTGTGGTGGTGCGCGTCTGTAGTCCCAGCTCCTCGGAGGCTGAGGCAGGAGAATGGCGTGAACCCGGGAGGCGGAGCTTGCAATGAGCCGAGATCGCGCCACTGCACTCCAGCCTGGGCGACGACAAACCGAGACTCCCTCTCAAAAAAGAAAAAAGAAAACCTTTAAGATGTTTGTTACATCTACCTGCCTTTTATAGTATCATTAACTTAATATGTGGCTTTAAATTGATTACTATAAGCAAGAAACAGTTTCACTTGCTATGATATAATTATGTATTTGTTTTAAAATTATCTATTTATTTTAAAATAAAGTGTCTGATACACATAAGTACTATATAATTGTTTATTTAAATGTTTTAATGCTTTGCCATTGTGTCAACTTCCATACTGACAAACAGAAGATGCGAAAATCACACACAATCCCTCAGAACATAAGACTGGGGTTTTCATTGTCTGACTCTGTCCAGGAACATACAAGTAGGTTCCTCCTGAGTCAAATTCAGACTCTAGACCCCTATCATCTATCCCCACCTCCAACTTCACTTACACTTACCTGTGACTGTTCCCAGGGGCTACTTCCCTCCCTCCCCAAATTGTCCCCTGGCAATGTCATGCCCATCTCTGTGACCATTCTAGCCTGTATCACTAACTTTAGAGCAGTCCAAAAACCACTCATCCCTCCAGGCTCACTGCCTTCGAAAAGCCTTCCCCAAATACTGCAGACCACATAGCTCACTCTCTTTGCTGGCTCTATGTTGACGTTAGAGACTGAGTCTCACCATCTCACTCTTGATTACTCAGTCTTTGTCACTGCCACATAGATCAGAAAGTCTGCCTCTTCATTAATGTCCCAAGTTTCTTAAGCAGGGAGGCTGTGACTTTTTCTGGATATACAACATTTAAGAGAGATGTCTGAAACAGTTGATGACAATAGCAGCATAACTAATGCTTAAGGTTCTCTAGCAGAGAGAGTTAATAACAGGCTATACCATTTCCTAAACATTTCAAAGGCAACTTGGAATTCTTCAGCTGGCCCTTGAGCAGAAAAATAAAGAATTATTTCCCCAGCACACATCCCAGTTTGAAAAGAAAAATCAATCGTGGGGTCATAAGACAGGGTAGCAAACATATTCTGGTCAGAGATTTAATTTCAGAGCAAAGCAGGGGCTAAAGCAGACAAAAGAAAATGCTTTCCTTATCACCTCCTGTATTGGGTATAAACAGTTAAACTTGTTAAAATAAATAAACTAAATACAGTAAGTTTAGGAGCTTAACACTGACTTTTAGAGCCTCAAATGGCTAACCCAGTCCCAAAGGCAAAGTTCTTGAGGGCAAACCTTTCATCACATCTACAGAACTGAAAGGAGAAAGATACTAATTAGTAAATCTAAGCAGCTCTGTCTGGTAGAAATATAATGCAAGTCGTAAGAATTTTAAATGTTCTAATGGTCATATTTAAAAATTGGTGAGATTAATTTTAATATTTTTAAATTTAACATGCAATCAATACTTTGAAAGTTGCTAATGAGATATTTTATATACTTTTTCATACTAAGTCTTCCAAATCTAAATCTGATATTTTCTACTTATAGCATATCTCTTTTCAGACAAGCATCATTTCAAATGCTCAATAGTCTCATGTGGCTTCCATCCTAGAGAGGGGAGGTTACCAGATGAAAATGAGTAAGACTCCAACCAAAGTAAAAGCAATTGGGAGCAAGCATGTTTGATACAGAAAGGGCCTGAAAGGTGAGAGGTTATTCTTTGTTTAGATCCTCTGTCTACTATATACTATATCTGGTTCTGCCATAATTGCTTCTTATTATTAATGGAGACTCAACTTCTTGGTAACTAAGAAATTTTATCTGTGTTCACTCTATATTCTCTCTGGAGTAAGACAGGCTGGATTTGCATTTTGGCTTCACTATTCACTATCTGTGAGCCCCTGGCAAGCTATTTAACCTCTCTGAGCACCAATACGTAGACAATGACAGTTCATCTGTCTCAAAGGAGGATTAAATGAAATAATAATATAATATTATTAGTGTTAGCTTTTATTATTATTATTATTATTATTATTATTGCTACTTTATTTATCTGAACAAATCCAGGCAAGACTAAAGGCAAGACTCAGGTGAGTTCCTTGAACTGCAAACACATGATCTGTAGGGGCCAAAGAGGGAGAGTCCAACAACAAGTCATACAGATTCAACCCATTTCAGAGACAGTAAACATCATCACAGAAGTTTAAAAAAAAGGTGGCTGAGGAGTAAACCAGAAATAGTAGTGTTCAAAAAGGCATGATCTTGTGCAAAAGTGGAATCTGTCATTGGGTTAGACTGACCACTGGCTTGCTGAATTAATTTTTAAATCTCCTTTAATGTAGTTATTACATTGTATCTATAATAAAAAGTAACATAGTAGTAATAAAAGTAATAGAGTGGTCACACAATCTCATATTATTGTCACGAGGATCAAATGAGATAATACATATAAACTGTCCTAACTCAGTGCCTAGCCCATAATTGATGCTTAATAACTGTTAGTGTCCATCTAGTCCCTCTCCCCTTCCCCTTTACAGGCAGGACCAGTAAAGTGTGACCTAGGGACTATAGTACTTGTAATTTCATCCTCATCTCCAGCATTTAGGAGAAAAAAAAAGTGGCCAACTATCAATCACTTTCTTTCTCCAATTTTTCTTATTGTGGTAAAATACATATAACATAAAATCTACCATCTTAACCATATTTATTGTATATATTTAAGGTATAAAACTTGATGATTTAATACCTGTATATACTGTGAAATAATCACCACAATCAAGCTAATTAATATATCCATCACACCACATAGTTACCCTTTGTGGGTATGTGTAGTGAGAACCCTTACGTTGCACCCTCTTAGCAAATTTCAAGTCTGTAATACAATATTGTTATCTATCCACCATGCTGTAAATAAATCTCCAGAATCTATGCATCTTGCATAGCCGAAACTTTGTACTCCTTGACCAACATCTATCTTCCCATTCCCCCTGCCCCTGGTTATCACCATTCTACCCTCTGGTAACCACCATTCTATTCTCTGCTTTTATAAGTCTGAATATTTT